AAATAAAAATACAGTTATAAAAATATAATAATTAGGTGATGTTGATTAAATAAAATAAAAAAATTTAAAAAAGGTGATATTAAATTAAAAAGCTATAATTATAAAATAAACACAAATTATAATACACACACGCATATATATATATATAGTAATAGTCCTCATTCTCGTTCTCCCCTGCCATTTCTATATCTATGATGTGTGAACGTGAACCAAGAACGCTTGTGTTCCTGTGTGCAGCGGGACATATCGACAGGCAAAAATCTGAGCAAACAAACATCAAAGCATGAATCAGTTCCACAGTTTTTAGTTTTTTGAACCTTTCTCTAAAAGGTTTTCGATATGCAGAGAACAGATAGCTCAGATATGCAGTGCATCGTTTGATGCCATAACACTGTTAAATTTCAGCCTGTACCCTTGGACCTCAAACTCCCATTCAGGTATTAGAATTTGCTGTAGTAGGAAGGAACGCACACTTAATCATGTAGATGGGTGTTGTGAGCTATAACGTGCATTATATTTTAAGGTTATAACCTCTGACTCCATGCGTCATTGAGATAGATCCTTATGCAGCACTGACCTGAGGAAGATATCAATACATTATTGAGTGGCTCATTAACCTAAAGTTCAACCCAGCCACTGTTCTGTGAAAAACATCACAAGAATGCAAATGACATTGTATATTTTCATACTGTTTGGGCTGTTTATTGCGTCTATAAGGGGTTCATAAAAGGGCTTCAGTTTAGGAGAAAAGCTAAAAGACATGGACTAAAAAGCCACAATATTTTACAGTACCTCAAATACTTTAGGTACTGTAAAATATTTCACACATTAGTGTTTATTCATAATCTCATTATAAATCCATCAATGAATTCCAATGTATTAAGCTAAATCCAGGTAATTAAGATAAATCATAGAGATTTTCATAAATAAGTTCAGCAAGGTCATCATAGATTTTCTTTCCTTTTTTGGACCCCTTAGGGAAAAGTCACAGAGATCTGGATGAACAGCTTCTGTCAGACTGATGTTATTGTGCTAGTGGTATGCAAATGCACACAGATGCATTGCATTTTAATGTTTACAATTCACAACAATGCCTCATCATGTATCATGCAACACAAAAAAAAATTGTTCAAAGCCGTAAATAAAGCAAAAATATTTTTTTTGTAAAAAAAAAACAACCTGTAAAAAAACCTTTTACAGTATTGCAGTTTTTCTACTTCAAAATTTCACATTATGTGTTGCTTGCCTTTTTATATAATTGTTTGTGAGATTTACTAGCAATTTTTGAGTGAAATTTATTTCTAATTTTTTCCAGTGTACTAAAGATTTTTAACGAATAGTTCACCCAAAAAGCACAATTCTGTTATGATTTAGTCTTCTGTCTAAAAATTAACTTAAACAATTTTCACTCAGAAATTGCTAGTAAATTTCACAAAGACATGGCAAGCAATATTCTGAATTAAACATGAAATATTGAAGTCAAAAGAAAATACATTTGTCTCCAGTGAACTTTAAAAAAATGTAAATATATAGTTTTTTTATATTATAAGTTTTTATTTTTCAGTGTATTTTTTCCATTCAAAAAGTCACCATTTACATAATTTGTGTCCAAAGTGAGTAAATAATGACAGAATTGTCGTTTTTAATTCCTTTAACCATTTTGAAAAAATGTCCATTGTCTTATTTTATTCCATTTGTTCTTTCTTGTTCTTATAGCACAAAAGAACCTGCAGAGCAAGCCTGGACATATGGTATTTTCTCGATCGTCTTCACCTCCATCACACTATCGGCCTCGTGTTTGACAATGTGTTAACACATGATCTCCGGGTGCTGTGGCATCATCTGACCTTTCATTTTTCTACATGCCCAGGACTGTCCTCATTTAAAAGGATCCTTTAGTGTTGACTTTAGGTGTTCAGTGCAGCGCCCAAGAATGATTGAGACTCCCGATTTGTCAATGTTTACAGTCAATGAGGGGTTGTATTAGTTAACGGCTGGCCATCGCTCTACATAATTACCTCTGGATTGACGAGTTAAAACGACCAAATTAGCATTGGATATTTCCACCTGATTTTTTAAGCAAGAACAGTGTAAGAGAAAGCATCGCTGTCATGCTGCTGACAGTCCAGACCTCTTTCAGCCGGTAATATTCAGCAGAGTGAGTAATATGCCCATTTATTTCGCTGCAAAAATGTCAAACACCCTCCCAAACATTGTATATTTATGATTCTGGCCTTCAGACTGAGTTACAGGGCTACAACCACCTCAGGTTTTTGTGGTATCTACTGTAAGTTGTTGCTTTTTGAAAGCATCAGAATTGCCTTTGACTAATGACTGTCTGGAAGAAAGATGTTGGACACGTGTTAGATGAAATTCCAAGGCAAAATTCTTTCTTTGTCTTCTTTCTGTAATGGTCTCTTTTACAGACAAGCATAAAATCGAGGCTCTTTTTGATATTGTTGTGGTGTTTTCTCGGAGGACCTGTGTGGCATTTAGCTTCTGTTTCTTTTGTATCGTATTTGAAATGAGCAAATCACAGTGCGACAAATCCACATAGATAACCAGTCTTTTGTCTACACCAGTCAGTTTTAATAGGATCTCTTCTTCAGGGCTTTTTTCCCCGTTAACAGGATTCAACTAATCTTGAGAGCACTATGGAGAGAGTTAAACTCTCAAGGGATGGTGTGAAGCTGTGAATTTGGAAGAGTTTCAACTGGAGCAGATGTGCGAGGACTAATGTGCGTTATTGGTGCTTGGATTTTTTTTTTCTCTCCGCTGCTCTTCTGTTTTGGGGTAGGTTGTTTCCTAAATCCTCATTCAGTTGTTTTCTCACTTACTGGCTTTCTGTTTCTTTTTCTACGCCGTCGCAGTTGACGTTTTCCTCCCACACTCCCTCAAAGTGTCACCTGTGCCTCTCACCTCCCATGTTATCATTAATAGTGGCATATCTATATTTGTTTGCCCTGATACATTTTTACTTCCCTCTGAAGAATTGAATTAAAATCTCGGGCTTTCAATTTAATTTTATCTTGTAGCTCTGGGCTCAAGGCTAAGCTGTTGCTTGCACACAGTATGATGTCTCCATCACAACGTAAACAAAAAAATAGATGTGAAATGGGCGCATAAGCCCCGCGGAGATACGGTAAATACCCGAGAAAAACATCTCGGTAATCCTTGCCCTAAGTGTCGCTGTCTGGCATTGTCTCATATCTTTGAGAGAGGCATGGCTGCTTGAGTGTGTAGTGCTGTGTGTGTGTGTGTGTGTGTGTGTGTGCGCGTGTGCGTGTGTGTGCGCAGAGACACTGTGTGTGGTGTGATGTGAACTTTTGATATACATTTTTTTTCCTAAGAAACTATATGAATACAGTTTGTAATCTCTTAGTTCACCCAAAAATTCTGTCATTATTTACTCACCCTCATGTACGCAATTTACGTTCAGTGGATACTCTCCAAAATGGCGCTAGGGTGACACGGAGGAGACGAATTGATGAATAAAGTCGTTATTTTTTTTTCTTTTGCGCACAAAAAGTATTCTCGTAGCTTTGTAAAATTACAGTTGAACCCCTGATGTCACATGGATTATTGCTGTGTCCTTGCTGTGTTTCTGGGCCTTGATCGTGTAAGGATCTTTGCTGTCTATGGAAGGGTCAGAAAGCTCTCAGATTCCATCAAAACTATCTTAATTTGTGTTCCGAAGATGAACGGAGGTCTTACGGGTTTGGAACGACATGAGGGTGACAAAATTGTCATTTTTGCTTGATATCCCTTTAAGATATTCAATGTGCACACAAATAGTCCAACTGTTTTTATCCTTCTAGAAATCAGAAATTTTGTAATCTGACAGCAACGAAATGGAATTACCCACAAAGTTGCATATAATACAATAGACCCTCTTAATGTTTGCAATAACTGCCATTCACAATATAAAAAAAAAATAATGGCATTGATGGTCCATGAAGAACCTTTAACATCCATGGAACCTTTTCATTGCACAAATCTTCTTTATGGTGGTAAAAAAAATAATGCTCTCAAGATTACTAAAATGTTAAAAGAAATGGTGTTTTTAAGAACTGTTCACTAAACGGTTCTTTAGAGTACAAAAAAGTGGTTCTTTTATGGCATTTCTGCATGCAAAACCCCCCTTTTGGAACCTTTATTTGAAGGACTACATGTTTTCTGCAATATTCAGTATGCATACTGTGTACACTACTCAATTTTCTTTTCTGCAGAAATAATAGTGTATCACAATGCTGTTGTAGACATTGTGTATTATTTCACATACTATTAAAAATCCCAGCAAACACAGGATGTTGCTGGAACGTTGTGACAACAGGCTGAAATGCTTGACAGTATTGTCTGAAGGTTGTCACAGTGCTGTCAAAATGTGTTTACTACGGTTCTGAACCATAAATTAAAATTCTACTAAGGTTACATGGACAACCACTGTACAACATGTACACATCACGGCCCTGAAGCGAAGCTCAGATGTCAGACTTTTCTGACATTACAGATATAGAATATAATGTGTTTGTTGGGTTTGAGCACTGGATTGAAGCGCTATAGGAATATTTGACAGACTGTTGAATTATTAACCTGGCCAATTGCATGACAGACAGTTATTTGATTTAAACTCTATAGCACAGTGTAAAAATAAAACATAGTAACAACAACACTACATTAAAAATAAGTTGGTGTAGAAACACTTGTCACTCAGAAATTGCTAGTAAATTGCCTCACAGTTTTATGTTCTGTAATGCCTAGGTTGTAGCCTGTCATTTCTGTTATGTTGCAATAAACAGAATAAAACAGCTTTTTCTAGAAGACTGAACTATTCATCTCACGCGAGTACATTTCATTTTAATGCTATTTATCAAAAATACTGTTCCTTACTTGGGTGCAAACTTTTTAAATTAGCAAATTACTGAGTATAATTACAAAATTACCGAGTGCACCTTTAAGTATAGAGAGATTGTGTGTCTCCCCCTGCGCGGTCGCAATGGTTTGCTCCACACCAGCGCTGTTTATACTGTTGAGCCGCTGCTTTCCTCAGTCATTGCGCCGCTAACAGCTCCTCCTCACTCTCTCTCTCGTTGCTCTTTCCACATTTTTGCTCTCTGACATTTTCACCGGTGAGTACTTTCTTCTCATTTTCTCTTGTCTTCATCTTTACCTCTTTTCTACGCCCTCTTTTGATTTGGGATGTGCTTGCGTTTTGTTCTTCTTCTGAGTTCAGCTGACACTCATCTAAAGCCGGTTTTACCTTCTTGGAGAGGCGGAACGTCAGGTTTTGGTTAACTTTGGTTAACGTGAGTCAGCTCTTGAGTATATTAGTTTCTTTATTTTGTACAATATCCTATAAAGGAGCAAGTGCTGGACACGATTTTGTTTTGCTTTTAAATATTTTTTCTTTCGTTCTTTGTATTTATCGGTTGGATGTTTACATGTAGTTCCTGATGAATTACGTCAATGAGAAAATACTTTTTTTGTTTCAAAGTTGTGGAGCGATTTTTTATATCGATCAAAATGATATTTTTTGTGTGAGGACTGATGTGATGTTTGCGTGTTTTGGAGCGCGTGTGAATGCAGCGCAGCGCGCGACTCTCCACTGCAGATCCTGCGAACATTTAAACACGTCTGGACTGTTGAATAACATCCTAGATCTGCTATTTCACCGCAGTTATCCATGTTATGCCACTGAGACACCGAAAATGTGGACATGCCGCGCAGATACCTTGACTTGATTTAGTTCACTGGGGTCTGTTTTCCAGGGTCATTCATTCCACGAAATGTGTGCCTTTTGCCTCCGTTTGGAAAAGGTGACACTAAAAACAAAGAATGTTTTTAGTGTTACTAAATTACATTTATTACATCTTGAGGCAAATTGTTAATATATGCTGATATATTTTGCAGTTGCTGAATGCTTTTATAAAAGTGACAGATTTTAAGTTTCATATATATATATATATATAAGAATAGGTTGGAGAAACGGGTCTGGAGACAGACGAAGTCATTCTCATAGAGAAAATAAAATATACTAGTAATAACAAAAGTTGGTGTCGGATTTTCATTGTTAAAGACATTGTTTACATATATTAGCACTAGGGACACCAAAGGCACCCTATTTGTGGAATGACCCTCCAAGCATGTTGTGAAATTGAATTCTGTGATTTTCTGGCTGCGTCTCAAAACCTTAGAGAGCTGTCTACTTAGGCAGCATTTTAGTGCATCTTATGTGTCTGCAGCAGTGGATAGCTGACTGGAAACATGCTTTGTGATGCCAAAAATGCAGTCAAAGTGGACCACCTTGTTTTAGCTGGTCTGTTATGCTGTCTCGTACAAAGTCTCGTATTCTTGCAAGTCAGCTGTAGCTTTTTAATTACATCTAATCACAAGAGCAACAGTTTGATCTGTAGAAGATGACTAATAAGTGTTTGTGATGTGCAACAACATGATGGTTTGAAATGCAATGCCTCTGAACGAAAATAAAAAATATTCAGAACTTAGTTTTTTGGTCATGTTCAGTCTGAAGGAGTTAATGGAATAACTGAACACACACACACACAAAACTTTTCATTAATGAAATGACATGTGATCGAGAACAAACAATGTTGAATATAGAGAAGACATACTTCTGTGTTGTTGCCACTTCATCTGCCGCAAGACTTTGTTTGGAGGTCATGGCAAACAAGTAAAAGATATTCTCCTGTCTCTTTTCCGATCTCATGCTTCTCGTCTCTACATATCGACATATATGCACCCACATGCTTCTTTTGAAAGTCCTCCATGACTCCATATGATCTTCATTGCATGCACTTTCGCTTTAAAAGTCCATTATTTCCAGTATGTGGCCAGGTATGGATTTTAGTATTAAGAAAAGCATACGGTTTGACCTTCCAAAGACATTGAAACACTTTAAGCCATTTGTTCACACCTTTTCTACAGTAATGCTTTTCATTACTCATGCCCTTCAATTTATGTGCTTCTATTTTTGATTATGAAAGATTTTGAAGGACTTATTCCCTGTTTACTGTCGCCATTAGATGAATAGTTTCGGTTATGCACAGCTTAATGTCTTTGTCATTAAATGACAGAATATTCCTTTAAGGAGATGTGACCGTGTACAGAGTGTTTTTGGGGTGATTTTTTGTTGTTGTTGTTTATATTGGTTGGTCCATTACGGTCTTTCTCGGCTTGTACTGCCGTTAGCTTATCTAGGGCATTAGTTGCCTACCTCAAGGACAGCCAAATCAAGTTGACCACTTACAGCTGCTGAATTCAAATAACACACTGCAGCACCAGCACAAAAATAGAGGCTTTTATAAAATAATGGGTCCATGCATTAAAATGAATCTACACATTAGGAAAAATGTACATAGTTTGTATGTTTGAATGCCAGTAAAATATGTTTGCATGCATGTTATGCAAAAAAGGTAGAATACTTACATTTGTATTTAAAGCAAAGTGATTAATCCAGGGAGAAAACAATGCAAAAATGCTACCAAATTTGAATGATTTAGTGGTTAGTGATTCATTCCAAACCTTCACACTTGTCAAAAAGTGGTATTCTATTGCTATGAATTATTTCTCAACTTCTAGAAATGTACTGTTAAGGTCACATGCTGTGTCTTGTGACTTCCCAATGTTCAAGATACTAACTATAACCCTGCTTTAAATAGTTAGCACCACTGAAGTGACATTGACATGGCAGTTGGATATATTTGGATTAGCTTGCAGCTTTGTCGTTAAAAGTTCACATATTATTAGTCATTATACCTTTTTTCTTCCATCACAAGGCAGTGGCAAAAATTACATTAAGCCAGCTAAATGTCAGGAATATTAAAGTCTCATGGGTATTTTTATGTTTTCAAACTTTTTCACATTCAGGCCATATTCATATTATTCGAAATATCAAAAATTAAAAAGGCTTGTTATCAGACTAATTAATTTGTTCGGTCAAGTCAAGCATCATGAATTAGAAATTTAGATTACATGTACATGAAAGTTTAATGAGTAAATTGGCGGTTGTGCTGTTAACACACTGTAGGTCTCTGTGATGTGTAATGAATTCAGTCAGTTTAGTCAGAGGAAATCATAACCTCATTATTTCACCCACATATATCAACACACACACACACACACATCATAGTGCTCTCATAGTTACTTGTGAATATATACCATAACTGCCAGCACTGTTTCCTATGACACTATAAAAATGCATGTAATTTTAACAGAAAAAGAATGCAAAAATGCTACAGTAAAAACCTGTTAACTAGTTCAGTTACCTTACCTTATACAGAAAAATGCTGAAATATGTTAAAAGACAATTTTGTTTTAAAATGCTGTAGTACAAAGTAAGGAATGCAAAGGAAAGGACATGTGGCCAAGTATGGTGTCCCATACTTGGAATTTGTGCTCTGCGTTTAACCCATCCAAGTGCACACACACAGCAGTGAGTAGTGAACAAACACGCGCGCACACACACACACACACCGTGAACACACACCCGGAGCAGTTGGGGGTTCGGTGCCTTG